CGCCGCCGTCACCGACCACCACACCACCAGCCCAACCACCATTAAAACCACAGATCCACCATCACGCTAACAACAAAAAAAACCCTCCAGATTGGAAACCACCGCACCCAACCCCAACCACCGCACCCAAAACACCGCACACCTCATCAAAAAAAAAAAAGACAGATCGCAACGCTTCCGTTCACAGCAGCGTTGACCGGCGATCGCAGGGAGTGCCGCTCACTACTCATAGCGACAGCTCCGCTGTCGTCTTCGGCGACGACAACCTTGCAAGGGGAAGAAGAGAGAGTCGATAGATGAGAGAGACGACGATGATGAGAGAGAATGAGAGAATAGAGAGAAAATGAAGATGTGATAAATGATTTGAGATTTTTAGGGTTTGGGTAATTATAATTTGAGTAATGTTATTTATCCCCAATGGAAATGAAAATACAGTCTATGTGGCGTCAATATGGCATTAAATGATAGGTGAAATTTAACCTATCATTCAAAGCCACATAAACTGTGTTTTCATCCCAGTGGGGATGAATAGCATTACTCTTATAATTTAGATAGAGATGAATTAATATTTGATTTTTGTATAAATAAAGTTTATATTTGAAATTGGAAATTGAAATTTTAAAATTCTGATTTTGTGTAATTTTCATAACTTTTTTAAGAAACTCTTTTACAAGAAATAGAAACAAAAATAGAAACCTTATCAAACAGGTTATAAGACTCCTAGCATAGGTCACTAATGAGAATGGAAGTAATTTTACTTAGGGAAGATTACATATTTAAGAGAATAAGTTTAGCCAATTTCAAAAATAAGAAAACAAGTTTGAAATTTCCAAAATCAGATTTTTATTAAAAATTTTTAAATTTTTATTTATGAAATAAATTAATTTATTATTAAATATTTAATTATAATATAATATAATTAACCCATCCCACCTTCACCACCGCTACCGCTCCGGCGACTTTCCGGTGAACTTTTCCGGTGACTTTTTCGATTCCGACAATTATTTATATTATTAATTAAATATAATGATGTTACAATTATACAATTAATGGTCACATATACATAATTAATTGGTCACAGATTATTTTTGAGGTCACAAGTCAAAAAATTATAGGTCACGATTTTTTTATTGGTCACAGATCAAAAATTTTGTAGGTTACGGTTTATTTCGAGGTCACAAATCAGGT